GATCCGGGCAAAGAGCCACATATAAAGGACTCTTCACCCCTGCCTCCAAAAAGAGCGCCGTGTTTTTTCCTACCTCGCTGCCCTCGACTTTCCCATTCTGGAGCGCTAGCTTTCGCCCGCCCCCTTGGCCTCAAGTTTTTTTAACTTTTTGAGGACAATGTTTCCATCATGGAACGTTCCTCCTTCCATGATTCCGAGTGAAGGATCTAGGTTCCTGGAATCTCCTCCCATGCCTGGACATTCATCGCGAGGAGATCGTGGACTTCACCATGGGGCATCCGTGCCGCGGTGGAGCATCCGAGTGCAGTGATGCATTGGGAAGCCTTTGACGAAAAAATGCATTTTTTCACCCAAAGGAACCCCGCAACAAACCACCCCAATCATTTGTGTGCCGTTTGGTGTGCTCGGAAATGATGAATGGGTTTTGCAGAGAGATGAGGTCATTACAAGGATGAAAGGCTTTTGACTCTTGACCACCTGGCAGACTAGAAGTGAGTCAACAATCAGTGGCTGTAATACAGGTGACTGTTGCTGACAAACAAACTCCCTACAAAAAATGGATTTACATCTTCGTACGGGGGTTCGGTTTCATTGGTCAACACTCAAGATTACGTCAGCATTGCGTTTTTGTGCTTTTTGTAGTGCGGTTGTAGAAACAAGCTTTGCATTGTTTCCTTGCGATGACTGACGGTACCGGCTCCCTCTTCGGCCGTGAGCTTATTGGCACAAACCGTACCGATCTTGATTAGTGACTTGACTGACGAGTCAGGCCAGGAGAGTTTGGTTGCTTCGGAGTCAGAGTGACCCCCGTGCCTTCTATTTTGTTTGGTGTCCCTGCTTCAAAATACATGCCAAATGATGCCAAAGCAAGTCAAATTTTCCCTGTGAGGAAGCTAGATTTCCCTACAAGATCCTTGCTTTGGGCCATTGAGGCTCACGTTGTTTCACTGTTTCGACCTAACGCGACGCACCACCTGATAGGTCCGCTCTCATTCCGACCTATCACCCCCAAAGACAGCCTGTTTGCTCCAAAGTTCCCAGGGGTAAAGCATGTTTGTCTTTCCGCAATTGCCTGCCTTTTGGGCCCCCCTTTCCAGAGGACCCCTCGCTTGGTGGTTTTGGGACCAAAGTTGGCGCAGGGTTGGGCGCCGGGCGCTTTAAAGAATGTCCTGGTACAGGATAAGGGGCTTGACTTGACACAGTCATGTTTTCGAATGTGAATGACCACCTTTTGTCAAGGTGGTCCGGAAAGCCATGTCTTTGCGACGACTGTTTGCGCATGGTGTTGGCCCAAAGTCTGCGCCCCCTTGTGGAAATTGGAGTCCCAGTGGAGCCACAGGATTTTTACACCGGCCACCAGGGAACCTCATTCAAACGGAGCTGCATGGATGCCGCAGTTCTGTTTGCCTTGGCAATGGACCCCAAGAAACACACCCGAGCACAGGAGCATGGCGCTGCAAGGAGCAGGAGCCTTCCAAGCAGTTCAAGCATGTGGTTTGCGCGTACAGGGGCGGGTAGTGGTGCTGGGCTGGACTACGAGAATTGCACATTGCATGCCAGAGTGGACAGACCTTGAGACCAAGAAACGTTCAGAGGCAAACCCATGGGAAACTTCTGATTTGATGCAGATATGACTTCTAGCTAGTGAGGATTTGGGATTTCATTGATCTGGCCGGAGGCCTGCTGTGCCTGCTGGCCCTTGGCTGCCTTGGGTTTGGGCAAGCAGATGTCCAGGAGAAGCTTCAGCTTTGACGCAACGGGCTGTTTCACCTGCTCACTGGGTGAGTTGCAGGACATTTGGGGTGATGATGAGGAAATTTGCTTGATACAAAGTGACTCGGGCTGCAACCGGGAATGGGGTTGCGTGGTTCTGGGCACAATCCTTTTGATGAACAGGTTCTAGGCGCAGACTACTGTAGCTGACGAAAGGCGCAGTTTCAATGTTGGTGGATTGCAGTTCAGCGCTAGTGAGATGTTTTCTATTGTTTTCTACTGAATTTAAGACCGCTGTGAATTGCTTTAAGTGTCATGACATGTCATGACACATTTTGCTACACGCGTTTTTGCATGAAGATCAGAGCTAGGGCAGCATATCAGACTGCTTTGCTGGGGTCTGTCAGTGTGTGGCCAAGCCTGTCGACTTTTGGCTTTACTTCCCCCAGTTTATTCTCTTTTCTTTGGCCATACATATAGCTATAGCAACCACTGTACATTTTCTCTCCGTTCTGGTGTATGCGTGCGCGTGTTTGCTCAATCAAAAATAGATCAAAATAGCTTCCACAAATTAAATCCCCGTTACTACCGGTTAGCAAATATGAGTGTGGTCGACCACGGAAAACCCATTTTATTTGACTCTGTTAGTTTAAGGGTTATCTAAAGTTGGTCTTAAATAACATGGATGAAGAGGACGAACTCTTTACAGTCAAATTAGCCAGTCACGACAGAAAGCGGTGTTCTTTTTGCACTGTTTAAGTACAATGAGATGTATGTATAGGTCTTTAAGTCTTACCAGTCATTTTAGATGACCAATTTTGAATAGAATGGGGGGTTGCACCTCAGTCGGTAGCAACGGGGATCAAACTAGTGACTTGGAAGTCATTTTGGGTCCTACCTGTGGCAGAGGTCGGGTAGACCACTGTGTTTTATCGGCAACCGTACCTTTCTTTACACCTCTTCCTGAGAGCCGGCAGCGGAGCAGGGAAAGGTAAGGAATGACCACTGCTCCTGCTGCTTCCTTCGGACCATAGACCATCGACCCAACTGGAGCGAGCACCAAGGCAAGAGACGAGCGAAGGAGGCGAAAGAGATGAGCTTGGAGGATGCAATTCAGAAAGCAGGCAACACTTCGGGGACGCGATCTGGTTTTCACTTCGTACCTTCCAAGTTGAAGGCACCAACTATCAACGCGACCAACTGGACGACTCAACGCTCAATACTTGGTGATTCCAACCAGTTGAGGCGCACGATGGCCCGGACCATATCTTTGGACTGGAAAAAGAGAGAACATGAGTCCAAACATGTCCCTTCTGCATGGCAGAATACACGAGACCCTTGACGATCCTGTTTTCTGAAGGCGGGGGAGGGAGTGGGAGGGGGAGAGCAAGAGAGAGAGAGAGAGAGCGAGAGAGAGAGACAGAGACAGAGACGGAGGGAGGGAGGGAGGGAGAGCATCTGGGGCCACCGACCTGCGGGCTTGTCCACGGACCTACCTTCGTCGGGTACCTCGTCGCCGACCTCAGGGGAGTTGGTCAAACAGCTCACCTTCGATGAGAAGTTCGGCTTGGTCAAGGGAGTTGCCTATTCAGATGGAGCACCTCGGTCTAGCTTTGTGTGCGCTGACTGGACCAGGTCCGTCTTCAGCATAAATACTTAACGCCAAGTCCAAAGGCCCAGTAAAACCTGTTTTATCCTTGAGTACCATTGGACCATTGAGTACTGTACTGTTTATTTTTTGTGTATGACCAACTTCAGCAAAACGAGGCCATTGACTTGTAGGGAACAAGATCTAAAGGCCCTTTTCATCTCCATGCTGCCTCAGACCCAACAACAGGAAGGGAGCATTGTTGGTGTTTGTGCAGGAGTGCTCAAGGAAGCGTTGCTGAAAGCCCACAACGACAGAAAGACAAGCAGCCAGCACATCAACACGCCACCCTTCCAACAAAATATGGGAGTTGTTGGGCCAAACACCTTGCTTTCAGAACAAGAGAGACGCATGTCAGTGGCATCAATCTTTGTCCATCCATGTCCAGATTCGGCTCCCCATCCCCGCTGTCCCCAGACTTTTAATTAAGAGATGAACCTCCCCGACGGTCAGTGTCGCATAGTGCTTTTTGGTTGAGATGGGTGACCGAGTATCAGCATCGTTGGTCCGGGGAAATCCCCTGATGACTTCGTGTCCGGGGAGACCATGGGGTGAGAAGGACCTGGGAGGCAGCAAAGCGACAGGACTTCAACCCTCCCTTCGGCTTCTTCGTGGGGAATACAGCGGCCGTGGAGCGCCTCAAGATCCCGACCTTGAATCTGCAGGCATCCACATCTCCAGGTACTTCCGAAGGTGTTTGGACCAGTTTGGACCCCTCCCTCGGCCACAAACAAACAAACACCTTCTCAGGATGTACTTCAAGCCCCGGTTCCTTTGGCTTCCGTCACCCTTCCGCTCCGGATGCGTTGGCTAGTGGGGGTGGAGGCGGAGAGATGGATTTGTGAGGAGTTGACTGAAGAGGTGTCACTGAGTATTTCCTTGCACCCCTCAACTGACGGTAATTTAGATAGTCTACACACTAAACGGGTTACGACAAAACAGCGCCAGACCGACGGTGGATGATCACAATGGATGTATCCTGATGCATCTAGTGTATCCATTCACCAGCTTGAATATGGATCTTGCCAGAACTAGCCACTCCAATTCCTGTCTCCCAACTCCGCTGCGCACTGCAGCCGCTTCGTGAGCACAGGACAATGGCCAGGGCTACCGCACGACTCAGAAGCCGATTATCGGGCAGGTGCGGTGGCAGAGACGCGAGGGCGTGCGGTTCTTTTGGGAAGCGGACACGGCCTCGTTGGTCATACATGCCGCGGTACACCTTGGATGACATTTTCCTTTAATGTGCTGGTTGATAGGAGCAATACTCACGAAAAAAGCCCTGAATGTGAGGGGTATGTGTCGCTGTGGATGTGCTGCAACCTCAACCGCCAGGGTGCTACCAGAAGCTCAAAATGAGACGGTTTCTGCGAGGCATTTTACCTTTGAAATGTTTGCGTGTGATCACTAAGTGCGATCCCTGCAGGAGCCATAGCATGTTGAAATATCAACGACCTACCGCTCTCAAACTCTGTGGGATCGTGGTAGTGCACATGTGCCTCCAACCTAAGAGCGATGGCCTCCAACCTAGAAGCGATGCTGCTATGAGCTATGTCATTGTTTGCCCTGCAAGCAAAGACTGGACCCATCTTAACCCTATAGACCAAGGTGTCGATTTCCTTTCACTAGACTTCATCAGGTCCGCCGTTTGCAAAACCCCATTCCACTTCGGTAGCGCCGGTCTCCGCACTCAGCTTCGACCCAGGTCACGGCCTGGCCGTCGACCTTGGCCGTGGCGGCCACCTGGGACCGCGACCTGGGCTACGAGTGGGGCCAGGCGCGCGCGACCTGGGCCGCGGCTGCTTCCTGCCAAAGCAGTGACGGGTGAAAGCGCCGCTTAGCCGGGGCGAAAGGTGGTTTTGGTCTTGTCGGCGGTGTGGGTGGTTCTGGGGATTGGGGTGGTGGTTCGGGTGTGGGAG